GGGGGTACTTTAGACGGGTAATCCTCCGGTGGTCGTTGCGCTGGAACCCCCATCCCCTATACTACTCACTATTGCACTCGCTATTGCATTCGTAATTGCACTCGCTATTGCGGATTAGGAGCAAGATCACCGGTCAAAAAATACTGACAAAGAAATGCATGACTCACAGTAATTAACGATAGCTATATTGCGGACGTTCATTATTATAGACACAGTCTGCTGTAACGAGAATCGACTGTACTTAGTGCTAGTCAAGCTCATGTTTAGCTACATTTTTTCTTCAGACATTAATGAGTGCATGGAGAAGACTCATACATGTCGACCAGGATCAATCTGCATCAACAAGGAAGGCTCGTATACGTGCCCGTGTCGAGATGGCTTTTATTTCGATAGAGAAACTACCAAGTGTTTACCAGGTGAGGTTGATATATGGTCGCTACTTAACCAACGCTTTGGTAATAATACTTGGTTTCAATAGATCGAAAGAGTGGGATCATCGTTGCAACAAATTATTTTTGTTGAACTTCAATCAATGTGTTTCAGTGGCATCATTCTTTTATCAAAAATTACAATATTTTAAGGAAACGTGCCAATGGAATGTCGTGGAAACGCCTTGACGCCAACATATACTATCGCAACGGCAAATCAGTGCGTATACAAGGCTAACAAAAACGAGTAACAAGGACTTGAATGCTTAGCTTATGCATGGTGCTATGCATTCTACGGTAACGTGCAAACGCATTACAATAGGTTAAATCTAAAGTTAAATTTGTAACCATTTTTTAGCTAGAAGTGTCCGCATGTCAAGAAAGGAAGTGTTCAAGTAACAATCATTTTAAAAGTACCTTGGAAACCAATCGTAGCTATAGACCTCTTTAGATTCGTTTGTTGTGCACATTTCAGACTATGTGATGCCACTCTTGGGAGTTGATTTTGTGTAATTATTTTAACATGTTCATAATTAATTAAAGAACAATTCTCAAGAGAATGTCATGTGATCTGAAATGGGCAATTTGCATACGAAGCTAATTAAAGAGGTTGTATTATAACCATTATAATGAAAGCATCTAACTTCGTTCAAACCCTAAATCAGTTTCCGTTGGTATTTCCGTTTACCAGACGCAGTGGTTTTAAACGAACCAGAACAAAGCAATCTATCGTTATCACCAGAAATCATCGCGGGGATTGTCACAACTATAATACTACTCCTGGCTGTCATTGTTGGAGGATTTTTCTACTGGAAAAGATCTAGTAAGTGATTCTTAAGACGCTTTACACCATCACTTGATGGCTGATGTTTGTCCGATTTGGTGTGTAAACGTCTTTTTTGATTGGTACCGAAATTGTAAAATCTATACCAAAAATATGATCAAGCGAAAATTAATTTTTGTGACGTCATCACTTGAGTACTCTATAAGATTTCGCCCCATGTAAGGAAATCTGGAATCCGGAATCCACGAAATTTTAGGCTTTGGAATCCGGAATCCAGCACTCTGGAATCCGGAATCCAGACCTTGGAATCCGGAATCCAGTTTATAATGGAATCCGCAATCCATCCTTTTGGAATCTGGAATCCGCCACTTTGAAATTCACACAAAGTATACACTCAAATGCTATCGCCTCGACCTAGACTGAGCCGATGTAGCCCCTCCCCCACTGTGTAATATCTCCACCAAGAATATCTGTCATCGGATGCCGATTTAACTGATAGACGATTCTACTTATACTGGCAAGTATATCAAATATAATTTTCAGAAAAAGTATCTGAAAATTAACGATATGGAATCTGGAATCCGCAATACGAAAGTTTTTGAATCCGGAATCCAGAGTCTCGGAATCCGGAATCCACCATAAGTCCGGATTCCCTTACATGGCGCGATCTATAACAATGAAATGCTCTGTTATCGTCAACCAGCATGTCGGCTATGAAGCCGATAACATCTGAAGCCGATGCATGCTAGTTCTTAATTGACATTCTATTAATGTTTGACCCTCAGGGAATGAAAGCACTTGTGGTTCTGAAGAACAAGACACGAGTAAATATGGTCGAAATACAAACACCATGATGGTCTCACAGAGCTACGAATTTTGTAACCTCAGCTTTTCTAGTATGGAAAGTGGACCTAAACGTTCGTTTGATGCTGTTACGGCTACTGGATACCCGGCAAGAATAAATGGAGATGTGGAAGATTACTGTAGTGATAGTATAGTGATAAAATCACACAATCGACATGAAATGACATCACAGAAATCTACTCGATTGCAAACTTTGGATGAACAACTGGAATCAATTGATGTTTGATGAAAACATGTAGTAGGCAACCGCCATAATATATCCATCCATCCATCCATCCATCCATCC